TTTACTGTGATTTTAACCTTTGCCCCCATGATTATTAGTGTTTTGAATTTATGGCTTTGATGATTTCGTATATGGCTAGTAACGTGAAGGGTGATTGTTGGAGAATTTTTTTTGTAGTTAGAGTCTCCTTCGCCCAAAAAGTTCGAGTGAAAAACTTCATCAACTAATGTTAATTCTTCAGAAAAGTGTGAAAATCATCATCTTTTGTTATTCTCACAGAATGTAGCGAAGTGTTGATCATGGACTTTAAATGTCAAAAGCATTCGATCGATCAAAGATGATCATCTTCGTCCTTTAGATCTCTTTCTGTCCTTGAGGCCAATTCTTCAAGCAGCCTTCTTGATTTTTTTACAGTTCAATGATACGTTGTGCCACTTGACCCACTCGAGTTTTCTCAAACAAAACGCGAAAGGGGATATTCATGAGGACAATGGTTGAGACATTGCCGAATGGATGTGTTGGTGAATTACCCCTAAATAAGTCCGAAAATGAAACTACCAACAACTTGAAGCCAGCTTCGCACATCGAAATCATGAATTGAACATGTTTGTCGAAAATTCTTTCGGTCTGCTGGTCGTTAAGAAATCGTTGGGCACCGCAAAAAAATTTAACAAAAGCCTTTTCTTGTGGTTCAGTAACGCAAGCACGACTCGCCAGTTTTCACTCTCCGAACACGGTACACATTCGACCATAGTTGATACTTTCATTCCGAGTGTGTTTGTTCATTCTTCCTTTACTTCTAATTACCACAATTATTAAATCTAGATATTTCAATAATTTTCATCATGGCACCTATGAAACCATCATCGGCCTCTACAAAGCCAGCAGCAACTACTACCACAAGCAACACTACAACCTCTACTCCAAAAACTACAACTACTACTACCACTACGAACACTTCAAGTACAACTTCCACAACCACTACTAATCCAACGCTGTTGCAATCTTTGCATAGCACTTTCTCTAAAACTCTTGATGCTTCTGTTGATACCATTAGCAATCAATTTCTCTCTAAAATGTTGGGAATTAACCTTCCAAGCGATCAACAACGCAAGCTTAGTCTTGCTGTTGGAATGACTGGAGCTGGCCTTACTTTCTACATGTTGAAGAAGCTCATTAACAAGATGATGTACATGTTCTCACTTCCAAAACCTTCAATCACCAATAAGGATTACGATATCATCATTGTTGGAGCTGGTATTGCTGGTTGTGCTCTTGGATCTGTGCTTGCTAAGGCTAATAAGAAAGTTTTGGTTATCGAAAGAGATATGAGTGAGCCTGATCGTATCATTGGAGAATTGCTTCAACCAGGAGGTGTTCAACACTTGAAAGATCTAGGCCTAGGCCATTGTCTCGAAGGTATTGAGGCCGCGACTGTTAAGGGGTATCAAGTTTTCTATAGGGATGAAACTGTCCATTTACCTTATCCACAAGTTGAAGGAAGAGCATTCCACTATGGTAGATTTATCATGAATTTGAGAAGAGCTTGTGAGAAAGATGGGTAAGTATAATAACGGAATTTCCAATCTTAAACTTATGTCAACTAATTATGATCACAAACGCTTTCAGAGCTAAGATGATACAAAGAGTTGTCACTGGATTGATCGAAAAAACTCCAGGCCTTGTTGAGGGTGTAGAGTATAAGGAAGGAGATCAAACTGTGTCTGTCTCTGCCCATATGGTCATTGTATGCAATGGAGCTGGTAGCTCATTCACAAGACAAGTTCGTTCTGACAAAATCGGTAGCGGAAACAAACCATTGGTTGTTTCTCAATTCATTGGATTGGAATTACCAAACTGTGCAGATAAGTTGCCAAAACCTGGACATGGTAATGTTTTCTTATTACCTGACGCTCCATGCTTGCTTTATCCAAACAGCACATCTTCTGTCAGATGTTTGATTGACTTCCCTGATGGAGATTCTAACAAGTTACCAAAGAGAGGAGAGGAAATGGCAAAGTATTTGTTGCAATACATTATGCCTCATCTTCCTGTTCAAGTACATGATGCCTTTAAGGCCGAAGTTGATGCTGACAGAATTAAGGTTGTTCAAAATCGAGAAATTCCAGGTGAAACTCCAGACACTCTCTTAAAGAAGGGCGTTGTCTTGATCGGAGACGCCATGAATTGTAGACATCCTATCACTGGTGGTGGTATGACAGTTACCTTCTCAGATTGCAAGGAGCTTTCTAAAGCAATCATTAATGCTAAAGACCTGTCATCAGTGGCAGAAGTTGATAATGCAATTGCAACATTCTACAAGAACAGAGCAAAGGTTGCTAACACCATCAACATACTTGCAAATGCTTTATACAGCATTTTTGCTCCACCTGGAGGTGCTAGAAATTGGGAAGCATTCAAACGTAACGAACCTATTCCTTCACTTTCAGAGAATGACAGTATGAGTATTATGCGTAGAGCAGTTTTTGAATATTTCAAGAAGGGAGGTATTTGTCAAACTGGACCACTTTCTCTCATTAGTGGAATCTGGCGTTCACCTCATGGACTTATTACTCACTTCTTTGCTGTTGCTGTCATTGGATCATTTGATCTCATTAGGGAAGGAGGTGTGCTTGGCATTTTTGGTGCTTTAGCAAAAAGCTTTAAGATGATTACGGGAGCTACTGGTTTAATTGCTCCACTCATTGCCGAAGAAGGATTGCTTCCATTCCTTTTCCCCAGATTTATCTGGAGGAGAAAGCCAATGCCACACCACCAAAAGTAAAACGGAACACAACCCTCAGATATCTGTACCAAAATAAACATTTTTACAACAAGTTGTACTTAATGTATGTGAACAGGTTGAATTATCAACTTGTTGGCCAACAATACTTTGAGGAAGTTGTGATGAAGTATATGAATGAGAGCATGCCAAGTTGGAAGTATCCAGGTAAATTCATCGAAGACCTCAATCCAAGAAAGTTTATTCCACCAATCATCAAAAATAAATTGATTGTTATTAATGTATATTTGTTCTAACGATTCTTTAGTAAGGGAGTTGTTTGATTTCAAAACCTTATCAGTTTCTTGTGAAAATAATGTACTGAGGTATTGGTATCGATAAATGCACAATTGCTCTTACTTGTTACTTCCACATATGCAAAAGGCAATGAAAGTTGGAATTCCATGTTCACTTGGATGCCATCTCATTATTTGAGAAATAATTAAACCAAAGAGCGTTCAAGGCACTTTGCAAGAAGAATGAAGAACCTTTGATCGACCTTCCACACTTTCTACATGGAACTTTACACAAGCACTTCAAAACGAAAAAAGTTGGTTCCTCCTTTGAAGAATAAACTTGCCACAAATGTAAATCAATCAAATTAAGAGTATAAATAATGTCATCCCTTCGAGAGAATTCAAGCATTGAAGGAATATTACCAATTCACATGCTCTGTTCCTTTAAGACGAGATCGATTTAGGATGGCTTCCCTCGATGAAAAGGATATTGGAAATTCTCCATTCAACGATATAGATGTGTATCGAGAATATCGCGATAAGGACATCATGGTGGGATTTATTAGGGGTTTGAGATGACAAGGGGAATACAATTAGGATGGAACTATAAATTAGGGAAGAGAGGTAAATGAATGGGAATGAGGAATCCATTAGGATCTAACTGGAATGGAAAAGTCAAAATGTTGAAACACAGGTTCATAACTTGTCTCAAAAGAAAGCGAATGACCATTATTTTCTTGCTTAATCGTTTTCACTACCGAGCAGCAAATAATTTGAAAGTTTCGAACAGTGGTGGTAGAGCCATTGTTGACAGCATCTTTTTGAAAGGGTAATGATCCTGTGTCAATTTGAACGACCAAATGATTTCCTCCTGGAACGTGATGAAAGTTCATCACATCCCAAAAATCTGTGAAACATGGAAATAAACTAAACACTCGCCGCCTATCATCGACAAACATGATGATGATGTGTGTGGATTGATCACTGAGATTTTCAAATGAAAGTCGCAATTTCTCCCCTTCCATAAGTATGGATGAAGAATAATGTTGAGTGAATTTGTTATTCTTGGAATGCTCTCGAGACATTTTACACGAATGTACACAACTGTATGCTCTCGATTGTTCAATGTATTCAGGAGAGTATTTCCTTTCGAGCAGCAATTTCTGAACTGTGATTGCAGTGGCCATTTGTTGTTGTTGTTTCAATGTTACGTCAAGACTTTTTTCTTCACTCAAAATTTGCGAAAGAGCCTGAAGTCAAGGAACTCTAATTTTTAAAGTTCCCAACGCTCAAACATTGCTCAACACAAATAAAACGAGAAGAGGCCTCACATCAATGAACTTGTGTTCAAAAGGAGTTCATTTCTTTTCAGTCTGAATGTTACTCGAGTGATTTGCTGAACTTGATGACGATGGGTTCTTCTCGTCAGTCCATCATTTGTGTGTGCGACAACAAAACAATCCACTAGTTCCGAATATTTGGCCAAAGCAATTTGCGCTTCTAGCAATTACGTTATCACCGCCAATATTCGCTCTCATCAACAAAAATTAATTAAAAAATATGAAAACCACAACAATGGTCCTATCACACAAGGAAAGAATGGAACAGGCGTTGATGTTCGGTTCCTATCTTATTCGGCAAACGTACGAATGATAGGAATAGGAAAACACTCTCTTTGGTGTGCTCCTCTCGAGTTCGGCGTGAAAACAAAATCCCCATGGTCTTACTCTTAAGCCGCAGCGACACTCTGATTGAACGTCAATAGTCGTCTCCTGCAAGTCCAACATCATTGATGCTTCTTTTTTTGTGATTGCGCATTCTTGAACTTTAAAAAATGTCTCAAATTGAGAATTGCATTCAATCATCATCCACAGACTCCGAAGGTACAACAAAAACAACAAATCATTCAAAAATTGAAATTCATGTTGCAGAGTTTTATAGTGGAATCGGAGGAACAAAAATGGCCGTAGAACTCATTGAAGCGTTTATTGAACAATTTTTTATGAATAAGAACCCTTCAAATGATGGATTATCTGTTGTCATTCCGAACAAAATTAAATTTTCATGGATTGGAGCATTTGATATCAACGAAAATGCAAATATACTATACAAACATTTATTTGGACACGAACCTTGTGCAAAGGATATTGCTCATATTCCAATTTGTGATTTTGAAAGACAATACTTTAAGAAAATTTTGGAAAAGAGAAAAGAACAATATTCAAATTCGTCATCTACCTTTGAAAAGTCTCAAAAGAAGCAAAAACTCAGCGAAAATTACTCTCAGATGGAAACATTCTCAAAAATTTTGTGGACAATGTCTCCTCCTTGTCAACCCTTTACACTCAATGGAAATAGAAAAGACAATGAAGATGATAGAACAAGAAGTTTTTTATATTTAATGAGCGAACTTTTCCCTAAAATATTGCCGGATTATATATTTGTTGAAAATGTCAAAAATTTTGAGATATCGAAAACTAGACAACATTTAGTGAACCAGTTAACAAACCATGGATATCAATTTAAGGAATTTCTTTTATGCCCAACTCAGTTAGGCCTTCCCAATCAGCGTGTGAGATATTATCTTATAGGACGAAGAGTAGAATTCAACATTGAAAATGCTGTGAACATTACTGAAATCTCTCAAATGATAGAAATCCCACTGAATTTACAGACTTGCCTTCCTGATTACATGTTTTTAAAATCTGAAAATAATCAATTACGACCTCTTCTTGATTATGACCGAGTTTTTAATCACCCGAAACAAATTGATCAATTAGAAAAGCAAGGAAAGCAAGCAACTTTTTGGATCTCTATAATCTTTCTTCGATATTGCTAACCTCTGAAGAAGAAAAAACTATATGAACGAGATATGATTTTTGTGGAACAAAAACATCTTGCTAAAATCAAAGGTTATCGGTACGACTTGATTTTGAAAAAGAGCAACCACTCCAAAGACACTGCTCCATTAAAGCGTGTCTGCAGTTGCATTACAAAGTCGTACGGCCAAACTCAATTTCTCAGAGGAACTGGACCTCTAGTTTTGTTGTTAAACGACACATATTTGGATGTAGATGTCGAGAAAATTTTTCAAAGTATTGACTTTGAGAACATTGAGACGCTGACCGGGTTGGGAAGAATACGGTTTCTTCACCCTATTGAAGTAGCCCGCTTGATGACCTTTACTCCTTGGTTTTTCTTGCCCTTCCTCAAAGCTTTCGATCAAGCAACAATATAAATTGATGGGAAACTCAGTCAATGTTCTATCAGTGGCAAATGTCATGGTCCAACTGTTCTTGGAGGCTAAGCCAAAGGATCTTGATTGAGACGAGTCAGTAGCTCTGATATATTATAAATGAATGACATGTTGTCCACCTTAAAATAATCCTCTGATTCATTACAAAAAGTTAGAAATTTTACTCTAGATCCAGTATTTAGCTGGAGTGATTCGGAAAGATGATGCTTATTAATCATATCGAAAGTCTCTAGAAACATTGCAAGTCATAAATAGTGATAAATAATTACGAATACAATAAATACTCATGTCAATTAGCTTTGTTCTGAGGACCGATCTATTGTTGTTGTTACTATGATTCTCTATAGCTGATTTTTCCAGCGATGGTTGCATCTGGTACATATTAGCCACAAATTCATACCGCCTTGGTTTTCTTTGATGATACCAAATCCTGTTTGTAAATACACGACTTCGCCATTACCACAGTTTTTACAGGCACCTACACCAACAGTTCCCCGAGGCAGAGTCGGATCTTTAGTCAGTTCTGCCCAATCAATATTACTCCACTGGATATCTTTGGCAGCTTTGATATCGTTTTTATATACAACATAATCGGAGGTGTCTACAGCTTCTCTATTATCACAGTGTCTACATTTAAATTCTAGAGTCTTGTTTAATCGGTTTTCTCTTGGATACAACATGTTGTTGCACTCGGAGCAAAATCTCATGCCCAATGCTTTATCCTCTATCTCGTAATCGTCGTTCATTTTTTTTATGATGGAGAAATCTTCCTCAACTTCACACACAAAATCTTCTCTTTCATTGTAAACTGCATCTCCTAGTTGACCAAAATTTTTATAAAATTTGTCGACAAAAAAATAAGCCAAAATCATTATGTCACTCGTAAGTGTTCCATCATTTTGAAACTTTCTGAAATTTGAATCTTGTTTTATCAAGATCTGGGAAATCACAAAGAACAACAGCAGCTTGTTGAAGAGAACAAGACTCTACGGTGGTGCTTCATTCCACACCTCACCAACCAACCCACTCAACATTAACTCTGAAAAGTACACCAAGACTAACAATGTCAGTGTTGATGTTACACCAAAGGGTGATTTGCTCATCAAGAAGTCCACTCATGATGCTTCTGTCAGAAAGCCAAAGGAATATGTCAAGAAGTCAAAGGTCGCCAACAAGCAATTGTCTGTCACCAAGGCTGCTAAGACTATTGTCGAAACAACTGAAGGTGAGGATTTCAGAGGTGATTTGAAGACTGTCCTCGTTGCCAGAGCTGCCAAGTTGTTGAGATTGAAGCACAAGTCAAAGAAGACCACCAAGGCTACTCAATCCAAGTAAATTAATAATTAAAACAACAAAAATTTATTCATTATTTGGCCAAATGTTGTTGAAAATAGAGAAATTGTGTAGAATCATCTTCGGAAAGAGCTTTTTTCAGAAGCAACTTGGAATAGAACTGCTCGAAGATAAAGATCCTGTTCTTTGGGTAATGGAGGAGGAGGGCTGTCAGTATTGAGGTTCCAATTCACCATTCCCTTTCCGAATATTGACTCTTGGAGAGAAGTAAGCCGAGAGCTCAAGAGAAGAGGGAGGTCTTTGCAATGACATGCCAATTCAGAGGGAGCAATATATTTGAGTCCATACGTGATCAAATATTCAATTAAGTATTGACATGATTCAACATCATCAAATTGTGAAGCAAAAATAAGAATGGATTTGTAATTGCTAGGAGTGACATGTTGGAGCAAAATCTGACAACAAAATAGAGTGAGCCATTCCATTTGAAATTGAAGAGAAATGAGGATTATCTGAAATAACAAATCAACATTCATGTGAGAAGAGGTCAAGTCCTCAACGTTTGAATAGCATGACTTCAATACTATCAATAAAGCCTTTCTTTTCAATTCTTGTTGCTCTTCGCTGTCTTTCGAGTCTCTAACAAATCCATAAATATCGAAGGGAGTGTCTTTCGAGGAAGAAGTGTCTGAAAATGCATCATTTTCATAGAGAACTCGAAGTACTGGACTCAATGCAGAAATTACATGTTTATGCACATGAATAATGCAAGCACTTTCGCTCGAGTCCCCTATCGAGCATTTAAGGTCACTACTAGTGATATCATTAAACAGAGAAGCCAATAATTTTGAAGAATCATATTGGTTCTTCTTCATAAAGTCATTCTCTCTCCAATCCAAAACAATCTCACAAAAGCCCTTCTTGGAGGTCTGAATTCTCTTTTCAAGTTTCATCCGTCTCTCGTCATCATGTATCGAATGTTTCATATTGTTCCATTGGCCTTTCATGAAGGCCAAACACTTCCTAACTGCAAGCATGAGAACACTCCTTTTTGAGGAGTTGGTCAACACATTAGCCGACAAGTAATTGGATATTTGTTGAACAATATCGAACACATTGGATGTTTCCAACATTTCCGAGAGAGTCTCAAAACAATGTTTTTTAAACCACACTCCAATATCATTCACATCATTAAGGAAGAAGAGGAGAAAGACATAGAATTGAACCTTTCTGAGAGAGGCTTGGAAATAGTTCGTAAAGAAAGAATGATAAAGATGAACAACATCACTCCCCTTATCGTCCTCTTCATTCTCGTGATCATCCTTATGAAAACCATGATCATCATTCATTAATAGGATGTCACTGTTCATCCTGATGAACATGCTCACAAAAAGTTGAATCCAGTCCTTTTCTTGAGGATTCAATAAGGAAAGAAATTCTTCTCGTTTCAATACACTACTCATATCGGGAGAACACTTTTCAACAAGTGGATGGAAAATTCTCCATTCATGGGGATTGTCACAATGGAGAGAAGAAGACTCAGAAATGATCTCATGTGAAATTGGAATCATTCTTGAAATGATCCAATCTTCCAGAGTGATGGTGATGGTGGTGGCATGATTATTCATCATCGAAAGATTGAAAGTTTGTGAATTTCTCACCACCACTGATTCGCATGGATCATGCACAAGAATGGTGCATTCAGGTCCAACAAAAACCTTCACTCTATCTTGCTCGTTCCATTCAAAAGGTAGTGGAATTTGAGTGGTCCGAGTCAAACAAGGAAGAGGTTGCTCATGACCAAGACCTAACTCACCAGATGTATTTTGTCCACCTCCTTCAAGAGTTCTCTGTTCTGTCTCGACGATCCAGTGAGTGTTGGAACAAGAGAGACCAATGGGTATGAAGGGATGATTCAAATGAGTCATCATGAAGGAAGATGTATCGTTATAGTAATGATATAATGATCACGAAAGTGGTGCATCATGTGTTCTGGAATTGGTTGAGGTTTAAAGTTTGAAATTGAACTCAGTTTGGATCCACAGGCACTGGTTTTGGATTGCAATCGCGTAATCCCAAGACATAACCTCGATTTCTTCCCACACCATAAACTTTCCCGAATTGTGTCAAGATGAGAACGGAACCATGTTTCATTTCGAATTTAATGATTTGATCATCCATATCATCTAACAAATAATCCATGAATTCAATACGAGTGAATTCATAGAGACAGTCCTTTTCTTGTGTGGATGTTACGGAATTTCGGTTCTGTTGTTTGTAGTTCAAGTAGTTCATAAAGAAGCCTTTTCCACAAGCGTAAACATGTTGCCGAGGGTTTTGTTTAAAAACATGGAAACGTTTGTTCGGAGAAGGCTTCGACATCGAAACCAACTCGGAGTTGACTTGTTTCGTTTGGTGAGAGGATGTCAAGGTTTGAGAGAACATTTTTTGAGGAATAGAGACGAATTCTGTGATGCATAGACTTTATATTGATTGGAGAAGGCAGTATGAGGGCATTATCAAGGCAATTGGTACCACACACATACAAACAGTAACTTTTTTTATTATTATTGAATTTCATACATTCAAAATAGTTTGAAAAGTTGTAGATTTCTTGTGTGTGTGTGGTCGAGAAAGATACGTGTTGCTCAATCAATTTTTCTGTTTCAATTTCATTTCAACTTTTCAGTCATGAATGATTTCATTTGCAAGCTCTTAAAAGTTTTGATTGGTCCATCAACATCAAAATAAAATCAAAAAATTTGATCGAAAATTTTGAGGACTCAAGAGTCGTTTACGAGTTGTTGATCAAGACAGATGTAAGTGATTGGGATCGTATTGGGTGATCGGAATGATTCATGTATTGAATCCTACGTATTCAATTCATTCTTTTTTAAAAACACTCAATTAATGTACATGAATATATAACAGACAACAAACTTCTCATCATCAACCCAATCCACCACCATCATTACCATGGACATGAGTACATTTACCGATTACGTTACCAAGACAGTTCAACAGGTATACGACAAAGGAAGAGGTGTGTTAGAACATTATGGCATTGTTGAAAAGCCTGTTCAGCCAAACACTCACGATCCAATTCGTAATTTCATTGGCAATCATCCATATATTACTACAAGTATTGTATCACTTGCTGTGAGCTCCTCTGTCAAGTTTATACTTCGTCAATTGAGAAAGAGAGTATCTCCTCATACAGTTCTTGAAATTGATTTGGAGGATTTAGAATTTACAGCACAACCTGTGACTCCATCCCTCGCAGCATTGTTCTCTCAAGGAAAAACAAAGATGCATTACTTGACATTTGTGGATGTATTGAAGGTTGCTAAACAGAATCCAAATATTGTTGGTCTTGTTGTCTATTTCCAAGGATCATCACACAATCCATTTTCTGGATTAGCACTTGCTCATTTGAGCGAAATGAGAAAGGCCTTGTTTGATTTCAAACAACACAAAACAACTATTGCCCATACACATTTCTTCAGCAATACTGTAAATTATTACTTTGCATCTGCTTGTGAAAAGATTTATATTGGAGATCAAGGACTTACAGTTTTGAATGGATTCCAACTTCGTAATTTCTTTTTGAAACAACTTTTGGATAAGGCTGAAATTGAACCATATGTTGTGAAGAGAGCAGAATACAAATTAGCTATGAATACATTCACAGAATCCAAATATTCTGAGCAACACAAGGAGCAAGTTGAAACTTTGGCTAAGGACCTTTTGACACAATTATTAAGGACATCTCAGAAACAAGAGAAAAGAACGCTACTTCAGTTCGTGAATGGTTTGATATTGGTGTTTTTGGAGCATCTGCTGCTGTTGAGCACAAAGTGGTAGATGGTGTGAAGCATCGAGATGAAATGCTTTCAGTAATGGCTGACAGTTTGAATGTCGATTCAAAGAAGATTAACCTTCTCTACATTCAAAAGTATCTTCAACAAAAGTTAGAAGGGAATCCTCTTGACTATCTCAACCCAAAGAAAAAGTCTGACAATCTTGTCGCAATCATCTATGCCAGTGGAGCAATTGTAAGAGGAAGACCACAAAACCCACAAGATACGAACATGAACAGTGACGTATTGATTGACGCCATCTATAAGGCAAGAAAGAATACTGAAGTGAAGGTCATTCTGTTGAGGGTTGACTCACCAGGTGGAGAAGTGTTTGCTAGGTAAGTGATGAAACACAAAAGAAACTTTGAAAAATATTGAACTTTGAAAATATTGAACAATAATGGATCATTTCATACTCACGTTAATCAACATGTTGTATTGAAATATGAAACTGCACGAACACAATCATTTTCACGTTCTAAACAGTGAGCACATTAGAAGAGAGTTAGAGCTTGCAAAGACAGAAGATAAAAAGAAGATTGTTGTCAGCATGGGAGGTGTAGCTGCCAGTGGAGGCTATTGGATTTCCTCAGTTGCTGATAAAATTGTAGCTCATCCTTTTACTATCACTGGATCTATTGGAGTGATTATGGGCAAGTAAGTATCTCATCTTTTGTTGAAATATTCAACATGTTCTTCTTTAAAAGGTTCTTCCTTGGAGACTTCTTTGCTAATAAGCTCGGAATTACCAATGATGCCATTTCAACAAACAAGAATTCGTCTGTCTTTTCGTATTTCGATCGTGTCACAGAGCAACAAACAGAATTATTTAACAATGTTATTGACGAATTTTATGATTCCTTTATTGAAAAGGTCAGTCAAGCAAGAAATATCAGCAAGGACGATTTGAAGAATAAGATTGCCAAGGGTAAAGTTTACTTTGGTCAAGCTGCCAAAGAAGTAAACTTGGTTGACCAGGTTGGTGATTTTTATGACGCCGTCAAAGTAGCTAAGGAAGTTGCTGGCATGCAGAACGAACCACACCTTTGTGTTTTCTATCCAAAGAAGAAGTCTTTGTCTGAGGCATTGCTGTCATCCCAAGCACCAACAAACAGCAGAGATCGTGCTTTCAAATCTGGCGTCTCAGTTTTTGAGCCATTCTACGCCATGCTTCAGTCTTTGAGCGGATTATTTAAGGTTTCAAGTTTCTTTGCAAAACACAGCTCAATGGTTGACAAGTATGTTCAATTTGCTGAGAAAGCCATTCAAGCTAACAATGGGGAAGCCAAAGCTGAATTAGAAACAACCATCGAATTCTAATCAAATACAACAAATCAGGAAATTTTGCACAGTACTAAAGTGCCTCATTTCTCATTCGAATTGCTGTAACCTCCAATAAATGGGAAGAATTTGATTTTTGATTTGAAAATCATTTCCTCCAAAAAATAGCTCATCATCATTGATTGAATTGCCATCATCTCGTTGCCAATCCGAATCCAAGGGCCGAATTTGAACATATAAATCACTAGATATTTTGGCATTTCATATATATATACCCGTTTCATCAAATTTTACATTCTACCATTGACAACCTCTTGTACCAGTAACAAAAAAACGTTATAATATCATCATCATCCAGAATATTCTAAAATGGGCAATTCGAGTGCTTCTCGTTCTGAAAATTCTATTGCAAAATTTCTTATGAGGGAAGAAGATGATGATGAGGCCTATGAACGACCACAATCCGGTAGCACTACAACAACTACTACCAACAGTCCCAATGGCAACGCTCCGCCTTCAAAGGCAGGCAAACCATTACGCAGTCCCAAAGTGGGAGATCCATTTGTTGACCTCGGAGTTATGTTGTCAATTGATAGCATATATCATGGATATCAAATTACATCATTGATCGGAAAAGGAAGCTATGGAGAAGTGTATTTAGTGAAAAAGGAAATGCAAATTATGCTTTGAAGGTTTTGGAACTGCCAAAGACTACCGACAGAGAAGCCGTGGAAGCAATTGACAAGGAAATCAAAATTTTGAAAAATTTAAAACATCCAAATATTATGCAGTTTATCGAAGAATTTCCTTTGAAAGATCAAATGGATAAGAGTTGTGTGGGCGTTGTAACTGGTAAGTTGTGTTGTTTTTACATTCAAACAATACGAAATATATTGTGTTCAACTCTTAAAGAATATTGCCAAAAGGTACTATTGGAGATATTATTGAAAAAGATCTTCATGTGAATATCAATATTTGGAGAGTACTCGCATGGTTCACTCAACTCTGTAGCGCACTCAAGTATTGTCATGAAGAAGGAATTATTCACAGAGACATCAAGGTATGTTAAAAAGATTCCAAGAACATGATGATTATTATTTAAACAAAAACTAGCCATCAAACATGCTCATCGGGGAGGATGATACATTGAGATTGTGCGACTTTGGATTGGCCAAAATGTTAAATTCCAAAGGCGCTGTAACATACACTATTTGTGGAACTCCACTCTATGTTGGTATGTTTTAATGAACTGAATGACCATGTTAATGCATTAATAATACTTGATCAGCACCTGAGATTGCTCTTCAAAGACCATACGCCTTTAGTTGTGATATTTACAGCATGGGATTATGCGTTTTTGAGCTAACATGTCAACAACAACATGACTTGTTTTATAGAGCTGTTTTGAGAGAAAGAGAGAAAATTCCTGGAATGTTCGAAAAAATTAAGCTTGCTTCATTGAAGGACTTAATCAGAAAAATGGTTGAACCAGATCCCGATTTGAGAATTTCAGCTGCTAATTTATTTAAACATCCTTATGTGAGATGTTATCGCTATTTAACGTTAAATCCTGACTATACATTGACGCCTACTGAAGGTTCTGATGTTTATTTCATTAGTGCAATCATAGAGGCAATAGTTTTTGAAGGACTTCAAAATAATGAATCATCAAGAACCTATCCAGTGATTTCAAAAGCAGTGAACTGTATATTATTATTCATTCATGAGCAAACAGTCATTGAATTACTATCTAAGGAACAACAGTATATCAAGGCGCTGTTCAGTCTGTATCTAGATTCATGTCTGAATGAAACTGTGAGAAATGAAATTTCCCAAATATTTATTGCCTATGTCCAAACGTCAGAGAGATGTAGGAAGCATTGTGCTAATACTTTAATTGAAATAGCTCAACGAGCTCCTGAGTCATCGGTAGAGGAAAGAACACTGCCACGGTTTGTGTCACTCCTCACAGAAAATGAGCCTGCCTTTATTACCTCTCTCTCCACTCAATTGGAATTTAGAGACACACCCAAAGCATCCAAGTTATTACTTCCAAAACCATAAGATACCATGTACATTTTTGAATGGAACTCTCAAATACAGTCTCTTTTCAATGTAAAATTTGCAGTGCATTTAGATATTCTATCTGGATCTTTGTCCAGCTCACTGAACATGGGAATTTGAACTTGTTCTCTAAAAAAAATGGCCACAGACCGATCTTTCCTCTCCTTCCTCCGACCTGCCGATGAAAACGCTCTATCATCGTTAATAACCTCAACCTCCCTTCCAAAGAGTACTTATGATTATGGCATGATCATTTGTGGAATACCTTTCTCTGGACGATCCACTTTATTACGTCTCATTCGAAAGTTGGATGTTACTAAATTATTGAGCGATCATACGGTGGATTCATCAAGTTCGGGATTTTTATCATTGGCAACATCTTTGGTTTCTTCTGCATTCGTGCCTAGTACGAACTCTACAGATTCATTTACATACAAAAAAGCAGTTCAATTTGCCATTCTCGCTTCATGTTTGAATGCCATGCAACTCATCTTGCAAGAAATAAAAACAATACCACAAGAGGATGATCCCTTTTCTGCATACAATAGTGAAGACAAGAAATCTGTGTCTAAATGGACTGAATACGATGAATTGATTAATACCTACGAAGAACAAGTGAATTGTGTGAATGGTATTCACACAACCATCAATGCACCCATAACTACATGGGACAGAATATTGGATCAAGCTCCACAAATTGTCAACGCCATTGAAGATTTATGGAGAGTGCCTGTTGTGAAATTAGCCTATCAGAAATTAATGCAATCTTCCTTTTCACTCCCTATACATCGAACAATCACACCACACACATCTTCAAAGAATCAAATGTAAAAGGAGAAAATATTCATGAATTATTTGACAATTTACATATCATTATGAAGTCAAATTATAACTTTTCAGACAGTTTACATTCGAACAGCAAAATATTGCAACTGGTATATTCATCTTATTTATTGGATAATACTTTTCATGACTGGAAATCATCACTTGGATCAGATGAAAAGAGTAATCCTAACGTCATTGTTGAAAACTCTCCTTCAGTGACGAAATTTGGAAAGAGACGATGGTGTGTGAAAATGATGAACGCACAAATGAATTACACTTGGAGCTCTCTGGAATTTCAAGACAAGCCAAATCTTGCTCCCATTGTAGTTTATTTAATCTCATTGGCAGATATTGATCGATACAGGAAGAATACTCCAATTTTTGACAGTCACGTGAAATATTTTACATCTTTGCTTTCAGCTCCAGGCACACAAAAAGTATTACTTTTTACCAAGGTTGACATTTTTGCAAACAAGATCATGTCTGGTAAAGTCAAAGTTTCTGAAATATTTCCAAATTTTGTGGGGAATGATCGTGACCCATTGAGAGTGTTTGAATATATATTCAACAAATTTTGGATTCCATGTCGAAAGTATCACGAAAATGTACCATACTATGTGGTCAATTTGGTAGATTTGGAAGAATGTTCACAATTTCTTTCAATTTTATTGGAAAAGGGATCACCTTACATGGGTAGATCATTCATTAGTCGACATTTGCTGAGAATGATGGAAATTTACTTGAAGAATAATTTGAAGAATTCATATGTGCAGGGAAGTACGTGTTCACATGGAGCAAATCGAAAGGGACAATTTTCTGATATTGAAATTGTGATCAGTGAATCCGAAAACTATTAATATTGGAACAAGTTTAGAATGCTGTCTATGCGCATCAATATAACCTTAAGAGTGGCTATGATTAATAAAATAAAAGCCATTTATTATAACACAAGATATTCTTGCTCAAATAGTTCCTAACTTCCATTACAACAAAAATACGGAGCAAAACAGCAACACAAGTAATGACATTAAACTCATTCCTCTCTGCACAAATGCACCCGAAATGCTTGTAGATGGTTTCGCCTTGATCTTGATGAAATCACTACCGAAATTGAGAGAAGGCATGGAAAATGACTCCACTTTTCCATTGGCAATATTAAATTTCACAACAGCACCTTCAATGCCAGTCAAAACATTACCCATACACGATAACGATCCTAATGTTGTCACCTTGAATGTCATGCTGCTTTGATCAATCATTTGCAAAGCAAAAGTGGGAGGATTACTCGATGGAGAAGGTGTTGAGCTTTCAACAAATGCGAATGTCAACAATCCATTAGTTGTGTCATAATCTATCTGAAGATATTGAGTGAACAACAAGAACTGATCAAAAACTTGATATACACCAACCATGTCTTGAATCAAGGCGCGAGAGTTTGGAATGGAAAGATTGGCCATCAAGTACGAAGGTTGTTGTTTGAGTGCAGAAGTGAAAGCAGAGACTAATTGTGGAATAAGAGTTTTGTTTCTTACCAACTCGTTGGCTACTGGATACTCAGTAGATGTGAGTAATGTGATGGTTAAATCAATTTCATCATTCACACCAGCATAGGAATTGTATCCCTTAATAGTGCCATATTTGGATGCAATCCAGAATCCACCATTAAATTCGTGTTGCCATGAGCCCAAGCCTGTACTCATTGAAAGATCATCAGAGAGGTAATTACGAAGGAGTAAGGTTCGAGAGCGTTCCCTCTTTAAAATTGGACATTCTCTATTGAGACTCGAGAGACAATTTAAAAAGATGGACATGTCACTTGTCGTTGAGTACATTTGGGCAGAAGCTTCTTGAATGTACAAATTGTCAACCTCACTGCTCAATAATTGACCTTTCAGATCACGTCCTAAAACAAGTTGATTTTTAACACTTGTCGTGTAAGTAAAGCCAGTATTGGACATTCCAAGAGGATTCAAAATATTGACCTTGATAAAGTTTTCAAGTGAAGTTCCCGTTAACTGAGACAAGACATTTCCAAGAATGGTATACCCTAATGTAGAAATAGTTCTTGAATTATAGGATGGCTGAATCATTCTAAATTTTGAAAGAGCCTCCTGCAAGTAACTGTTCCAATTCATATTACAATTTAACAAGTCACATGGAATTCCAGATGGTAAGCCTGATGCATGCATCATGAGTTGTCTAAATGTCATGTTATTCGAGAACATATTATTTGAAATAACTTCTTGGAAGGAGATTCCAGAGAAGTAACGACTCACAGGGTCATCCAAAGAACTAATAATCCCTTTTTCTTTGGCAATGAGAGTGGCTGCAGCAGTAAAAGTTGTGTCAAGCTTCCAATTCTAAAGATGGAATTTTGTGAAATGTTGGAATCACCAAAAGCAGCATCATACACAGCCTGTCCTCTGTAACTGATTTTCAAATAAGCTGAAGAGTTTTGCTGTTTCATTAAAGAGGCAATTTCTTGTTTCAGCTGATCGAATAAATTCAAAATGGATGAATCAGCAATTGGAGTCTTTAGGGAAACATCTTTTGGAATGAAATTGCACACGACGGGAATAGCTTGTGTGGATCTAAGAGATTTAGGTCGACGTGCCGTGTTGGAACCAGATGACTTGTTCATGAATTGTAGACCCATGTCGAGTGCTGTGAAATTCTTGAAATCTTGTGAAAATTCAATTCTACTGCCTCCAATTCCTGTTTCGTATTGTAATCTTGTGGGGACAGAATAGGGCTGTACAAGAAAAGAATTTGTACTTCCACCATTACTTGGTGTGGGAATTAGGAATGTCGATGACAACTCTGTTCCCAAAACATTTTTCATTTTCAATACTTGTGTTGTCGAGGCATTAAATAAGGCAATCGATACAGAAGAGGATGATGACCATGATGATTGTTTCTCACTCATGTAATTTCCAACAAATGTCACAACATTTGGAACGAGAGAGGATGTCTTGTCTGACAAGTCCTTCATTCTCAATGAATCCAAATAGTCCTTGACCGATGCCACAATGGACAAGGCTGATTGCAGAGCCAAAGATTGGGCGCCGTCATCCTTGGAGAGTAATGTAATCACTGCCATTTCATATTTTGGCAACAGGACAATTTGAGCATTGTAACCACCAATGAGTCCACTCTTCATAATGGCCCAACTTGAGAACATGTTGTAATAGACCATTTCCCAACTCAATCCAACTGCAGCTGTTCCATGTGGAAGAATGTGTTGAGCACTCAGAAATTCTCTCATGGTTTGCTTTTTCAAGATGGTGGTTGCTGGAAATGTATCAACACCACTCTGAACAAAGGCTGCCAACAAAATTTTCACATAGAGTTGCAAATCTCCCAAGGAGCTGTACATGCCTGCAGCTGGTTGATTCCATGAAATGGTTCTATTATTGCTATAGATGGGAGTGTTGTGATGATAGCCTGTTGCAAGTTGTAACGTGTTCAAATTATCTTTGGTGACAAAACCAGTATTCTTCATTCCGAGACGATCCAAAATTCGAGTTGTAATGACTTGTTCGAACGGCATGGCTGCTGCACTTTCCAAACCATGACCCAATAATGAATATCCTAAATTGGAATAGATTGGAAAATGATCTCCATCCCTCACTAAAAACAAGCCATTCTTCTTGATACGATCGATCATTTGAGCATTCGTATAGTCGCAATCAAACAACACACAAGGTGCTTCTCGAGGCAATCCCGACATGTAAGAACTTAATTGTCGGAACGTTAGATTCGACGAAAAACCAAAAGGATTCGGAAAGGCTTTAAACTCTGGCACAAAATCCAAAACGGATTGATCCAAATCCAAACGACCCTCATCTCTCAATGCCATCATGGCAGCCGATACAAATGTTTTAGTGACTGATGCAATTCTGTACTTGGTATCTCTGTTGGGTTTCACGTTTGGAACATTCTCAAAGGCTTGTCCTGCAAAAATCTCTCCCAAAGTTTCATTGCGGAAGAGGATGGCTGTAGAGGCACTACCTTTGGAAGAGCCTTGAAAGAAGTGATCGTGAATGGCCTGAATGGAGGCTAGACTAGAAGCAAATCGGTCGTCTTCAAGAGTCAAAGCATGTGTGGATGGGATGATGGTGGCCATAATACATGCAACGACCATCACATGGATGACGAACAAGAGGTTCATCATTCCTTTCAAAGATATATTGGAAGAAGAAATGGTCTTGTTTGTTTTGGTACGAGACCAAAAAGCAGGTTGGTCATGAGGTGGGTTCAACATTTTTTGTTGAGCTACTCGCGAATTGGAAGATGCCTGTTCTCTCACACTTATTGTTTTGGTAATAATAATAATTTTGAAATAGAACCATGATTGCGTTCCTTTTTCTCTCACAAATGGTAATGACACGGTGGAATTGGAATCCGTTGGGTGAATGTCCCAAGTTGTCTCCAACCTCAGTATCAGATGCAGCCCGACGATGCTTAATTTCTCAAATCGGACGGGATGAGGTGCATTCATGGTGATATGGCCGTAGCCATTCATGGTTCTAATTCTGATATGGACGTCGCCATTCAATTAGTTAATGAACATAAAATTAGGTATTTTCGACTGCGCTTGGTTGCGGGTATTTCCATCCGATAAATATTCCGAGCTGCTTTTGGTGATTTCATGAATACAATGGATGCGATTAAAATAGGGACCAAATTGAAATCTATTGAATGCAATCAACTTTACACAAAAGCAACCGGGATTTGCAATTGCCAACCTGTAATGAACCACCTTGACCAAATTATTTCAAATAAAGATGTTATTTTCAAACAAATTGCTGCATACAGTTTGTCCCACACCTAAAAGCTTGCTTGCGTAACCTTTACTCATGTATGAAATAATTAGCAAGCTAGTGTCTCCTTCAAAAGGGTTAACTGAGACAGAATCTGAATATTTGTCATTATTTCGACAAGCTCAAGAACATTATAATTCAACATGGAATTCTGAATCAGAAAATGCTACTAATAATTCAATAAGCCTAATGAATTACGGTCCGTATTCAAAGGTAAAATTTCGGTGATAAATTCTAGACCCCAAGAAATAAAGTCATCAACACAAAATCTCATGAAAATAGGAAACAAATTATATCATATTGTGTTGATGGACTTGGAGACAACTGAGTCAATGTTAACACAAATACTATCATTCAAATTGCTTTTCTATCTCTTTCAACACATCAATTACATTCGATGTTTGTCCAACCAGAACGAAATGCAAGTTGGCATCAAAAGCTGCAGCAATGCATCAGGACAAACTGGCCATATTAGCCAAAAGTGATTTTCTTCGGAATATGATTCCTTATTTTGTTAATTATTAGAAGCAGCCGATGTAATATTCTTAGTTCATTCATGGAGTTTGGATGAGCAATTTTTCACAAAAGCATTGCAGATGAGACTGATCTTGATCCAAAGAACGGAAAGTTATATTGGACACTATTGTTCACAGAGCTGCTAGTGATGTTTCTATCATTAAAGCACATGTTCGCGATTGTCTATCCACAATCCATTTCAATTACTTTAATTTTCCCTTTAAAAAATTTCGCGGTTGGCAGGACTCGAACCTGCGCGGGTCACCCCATTTGATTTCTAGTCAAACGCCTTAACCACTCGGCCACAACCGCTTACGAATAGTGTAAAAGGTTATCTCTGTATATCATTCAAATAAGAAAGCCAAATTTTTGATCGCAAAAACGATATAAAACAAAGTCAAGTTTAAATGAATGCAGAATTCTGACAGATTCAGTCAAAGTGGACCAATACCTCTCAACATTTATTCATTTCTTGAATATTAATCACAAATACAAAAGCGATTGAAGGCATTTCCGAAAAGAAAAAATGGAACCATCTTCGGAGCAATCTTCTGCATCGCCACCACCAACCGACCAAAAGGTTGCTACTGCTGCTGATCGGGACAATGAACAAGAGAATAAAAGCGGATGGGGTTGGGGAAGCGGTTGGCTTTCTTCAACCATCGGTAATGTGGTTCGAGTCATGAACCAACAAACCAATGAATTCGGACAAAAACTGCAACAATTAGTTGCTGAACAAGACGATGATTCATCCACAACAACACAGACCACAGAGCCACCATCTTCATCGACTCCTCCCAATGATGAATTAGATGAAGAGAATGGGCAAGTCAATGACAATGGTGGAGCAGCAAATGCATCGTCTCTCATCGAAGAAACTGAAAAACGATTGAAAACTCTCTTAAAACTGCAGAGCAAAAACTCAAATCTCTTTTCACTTCCTTTTATAATGAAACATCTCAATTAGTGGATGAAACAGCAGAGCTGAAATATGTAAAAGGATGGGCATCGTCTTTTGGAAAAAGTGTTTTGCATACTCGAAGAAGCAAGTAGAATTCTGTATGATACTGAGGAGGTAAGTCACCAATGTGTCCTTCCTTCCGATCTCAAATCCAACCACCATCATTTACTTTTTTGAATATTATATATATCTTCATGACAAATGAATATGCGTGAATCTAACAATTATTACACCAACATGCCAATCATCCTAACAGAACGATGATGGTATCCATATCTATGTCAACTTTAAAGAATTATTTATCGAATATGAAGGATTGAAACATTTACAAGAAGTGGCTCTCTCCAAACAGTGTAATGAAGAATTAGCCAAGTATATGGAAAATAGAACCGACGAACAACGTGACAGAATTGAAAGTACGTAATTCATATTTTACAACACATTAGTATTGAAGCAATTCAACATTCAATACTTTTGGTATTCTTAAAACAATTATTTAGAACTTTGCGTGAATTAAAAGACATTCTTATTGACTCAACACAATTCAGTACAAAGGAAGTGGAAGAAAAGAAAGACTCTTATCAATACATTGCGTCACTTCCTGTTGGAAAGGAAATTTTAGAAATGACCAAGGCATGTATTGAACTGTCAAAGAATGCCTTTAGTAATTTGGAGGATGTGTTAGGATCAACCGTTGAGATTGAAGAAATGGTTCAAACATCGACACTTCTTTTGGAAAAAGCAAAGCGGAGTGTTATAGGTCCCTTGCTAAATTAGCGTCATTGGCTTCATTACATGTAAGTTGACCAAAATTCATTATTCTTACCAATGCAATATTATTATTCAAAGATTCTAAACTTGTCACAGTATCTGATCGATGTAAATAACGGTGGAAATCTTCCTGCACAATGGCAATCAACAGATCTAAATGTCACCAAAGATGCTAAACAAGTTGCTATCATTCTTAGAGATTATTTACTCTTTTTATATTCTCAACTCATTGAGATCAGCAATCAATATACTGAAGCCTTAAAGAAAAACACATCGATCGTTGGAATTAAATTAGACGAGCAACGAAAAGAAACTCTTGAAAAACGAGCGGTAAACATGGCAGCTCGCTTACATATTCATAGTGATAAGGTAGGTTGTCAAATTGTAGTTTGAGTTTCGAAAGAATTTCATTTTCATTGATGGTTCAAAAGGCTCTTTCCATCATTATTAGCTGTGACAAGGACTTTCTTGTCATTCTTCAATATCTTGGTGTCATTTGGACTGAATAGAGTGCTTCAGCTTTAGGGTGAATAGGGAAGAAGATTTCGCCGACCATTTAAGAAGTAAGGCAAAAAAGTTTCGGCGACTTGGACCAACATTCATACTCAATAAAAAATGTTTGCTTCCAAACGCCGGCAACTCTTCAACTCGTTATTCCAATCTGTCTCATTGAAGTCTGCAAGGAGCAGTCTTTGCAACAAGTATTCATACTCTGCTTGTGCCACTAGATCATTATTTAATCAAACTTGCAATAATACATCTGAAAGATCTTTCTTTACAAAAAGAAAAAAATCAAATAGTAATTTACCAATTGAAACGTCGGACAAGTTTTATTCACACCTGAACGATCAACGAATTGTTGATGATGGTAGTTTCAAGTCACTCTTTAGAATTT